TTACACATCCACATTTTTACATAATGCCCTTTTAGTAACTGTTGTATTCTGCTACCTTTCCTAAATTATATAATTATTGACATTTAAATTTTTGTTAATTTGAATTTTTCAGTAGGAAGATCTGTTGGAGTTTCTGTCATTAGCTGCCATCACTAATGATGGCTGTGCTTAAATAAAGGATTTATTTCAAAGTTTTATAAATGTTTTTGGTAGGATCAATTTAAAGTATATGTTTTGGTTTTTCTATCCAGTTTTTTTCCCTATTGTGACTTTAAAATGCAACATTTTAACCATTTTAAATCATCAGAATTTATTTATTTATTTATTATAATCAGTTATACACAAAATTTATTTTGAATGTAGATAAAAATGATGTGATCTCCAGAAAATCAGCATGCAGAATATTGTAAATAGGACATTTGTTTGGATCTATGCCAACAATCCAGTGAAATATTCTTTATTCACTGGGAGAATAAAGAAAACTAAAAATGGCTTTTTGGGGGGGGGGGGTAAATCCTATGGTAAAAGGGGGACATGTATTTGAATTCTTTCTTAAACCACTTATTTATAAAGTTAATGCCATGTTTCAAGTAATTTAAGAGATTCTACATTGATAGAAGTCTTTTTTTTTCAGATGGCCCTGCTGAGGCACCAGTAACCAATGGGAACACAACCACAGTGCCAGCCCTGAATGATGATCTGGACATCTTTGGACCAATGATTTCCAATCCTTTACCTGCCACTGTCATGCCCCCTGCTCAGGTACATGGTAAACATGTGGTTTTATGTGGTTACTGCTAATTTCCTTTGTGAAACATTTCAAGAATTTTAAAATAATTGTTTCTGAGCAGTCACTGATTTGAAAGCCTTCTGTTCTTTAGGCCCAGGTTTAGCAAACTAACCCTGCAGCTTGTTTTTACAGATAAAATTTTATTGGAACACAGTCGTTCCCCTGGATTTATGTATTGTCTTTGGTTGCTTTGTTATTACAAAAGCAGAGTTGAAGTAGTTACAGTAGAGACTGTATGACTGACCCATAAAGCATAAAATAGTTACTGTATTTAAAGTTCTAACTCTTGCTCTGGGGAATCAACAGTCTTTAAAATGAACAATTGGGAAAGCTCAGGGTAGCTCATCCTGACTTGAGATCAGCAAGATCTCTTATTTCAGAGGTTTCTAAACTATGGGTGTTTGTAAATTTTGATTTGGATAAGAATTTCCAGCAAATATATTCTTTTTTAATTTAATTATGTATTCATTCATTCATTCATTCATTCATTCATTCATTCATTCATTATTTCTATGTGGTGCTGAGGATCATACCCAGTGTCCAACACATGCCAGGCTCTACCACTGAGGCACAAACAACCCTAGCCACATATTATTTTTTCTAAAAATAAATTATGCCTTAAAACCTACCTTCTTATTTTTTTTCATGATTAAAACAATATTAAGGGGCTGGGGTTGTGGCTCAGAGGTAGAGCGCTCACCTGGCATGTGTAAGGTGCTGGGTTCGATCCTCAGCACAATAAAGGTTTTGTGTCCAACTACAACTAAAAAATATTTTTAAAAAAATTAAGAGTAGTAATATTAATGATCAAGATTTTTTAAAGTATTAATGGTGAAGAAATTTTGAATTGCCTTCTAAGCATTATATAGAATTTCTATAGGGAAAATATATGAACTTTCAGGATACAAGTAACTCTTAAAAATAAACTTTTAAGATTCTATTTTGTTTCAGAACAGCATTATTTTTGAGGCAAATGCTTCCTTTCTGTGTAAAAACTGAGCCAAGCCAGGTGTGGTAGTGCATGTCTATAATCCTAGTGACTCAGGAGGCTGATCAAGAGTTCAAAGCCAGCCTTAGCAATTTAGTAAGAACCTGTCTAAAATTTAAAAAATTTTAAAAAGGGCTGGGGATGTAGCTTAACAGTAAAGCACTTCTGGGTTAGATTCCCAGTTACCACCACACTACCCAAAAGAAAAACCTGAGCTAAATCTGAATTGTATGGATGTAGTTTTAATAAAAAGTCTGTCATTAAGAAAACTTAAGACATTTTTACTACACATTTTTGTTATGATAGTTATTGTGTACTTACCACTACAATTGAACATGTTGATATTTCTTAGTAACATTTTATGGCTTTGCCCTTCTCATACTATTGGAACACACATAAAAAGAGGGGCAAAGAATTATTCTTTCAGTTAATATTACTTTTTGAATTTGTGCAGGCATGGGTGTATATGAAACAAAAAATTGTCTAAATACTTTTTTGGAAAGAAGCATTTAGTATATTTGACAATCTGCACATGAAAAGCGATTTATTTTGTTCTGGTTTTCTGTAGTGAAGCAGTTATGTCTGCTAGACTTCTTCAGATTCCACTGAGGTACAAGTTGCTTTGCTTCAGTGTACTTCACATGTTCTGTTCAGTATCGTAGCAGCAAGCAGAACAATGCTGGCACCATTTAAATCTTAAGTACAAGTAGCATCGTAAGAAAGGAGTGTGGGGCATAGCTGCTTGCTATAGGAGAGGCAGGTCTGGCTTCATGCATTCTTACCTGATGTGATAAAAAAATTAATTTTTTTTATCACATCTGATTCTTTTGGGGGAATATTTGGTGAACAGAATTGCCTTTCATCTAAATTACATGTAAAAATTAAAACCTAGGCACATTTTCAAAATAATACCTTTGAAAATCGAGTACAAGATTTTACATATATACTGGTATTGTGTAATTTATTAATTTTAGTAGGTTTTTAATTGTATGATATTGAGCTTAACCTAGTTTGAATGCCAAGATTATGAGTTACTCTGAACCCTATTCTTTCTCTCTTGGTATTATTTTCTAAGTATGTATAAATTCTAGCAAAAGATTTCCCCACTCATGAATATGAAATAGATTGATTTTTTTATCATCTGCTTTACCTGTCTGGGGCCTAGAAATACTCAACTGACCTCAACTGATGATATACACATGTTAGGAGTTAAGGGAACAGTTCAAGCCCTAGCAGTAACACAGAAGCCCCTTTCCTATCTATCACAAACATATACACACCAATAGTATCTAGACTTATACAAGGGCTGAAGTCTATCCTTAGCTTAGCCCTGGAATTCCAGACATCCATAAAGCCTTTGTTTAGAGGCCTTTGCAACTTACTGAAATGTTATTGATAAGCAAACCTAATCTCCTTTTATACTGAGGATGTAGTGCTGGCAAATGAAATGCCAAGAAAAGGACATTTGAGTGCTTATTAGCTATGCTGTTTATAGACTGTGTCCACATTGAGGTAGATGTTCCATGTTACTTATCTTCAGAAGAAACTTAACATGTTTAGATCATGTAAACATGTTCAGTAAGGCTGCTTTTGTATAAGACTGAATCAGTGTACCCAACCGTTTTTTGTTTTCTTATGGTGACATTTCATTCACACAGAATAGACCCCAGCGTGTTGAACAGGTTCATAGAATGAACAGAAAGTAAATGTAATGAAAGATCACTTAGTGATGTACTTACTTTGTTATCTGAGTATTTAACCCTGCCATTGTGTGATACACTTTGTGGTCTCAAGCTTATCAGGAAAGAAGTGAAGTGACACTGTCCTAATTCATGGGGCTAAGGTTCTAGTACTGCCAAGCTGGCTGTTAGCCTCTGTGATCTTTGCTTTTTCATTGGTAGCTAAGATACATTTTTTTCAAGGGCGTTGGTATGTTTGGCATTCTGTTAGGGCTGATTTCTTACATATTACAGAGTTTTTGCAAAATAAGGTGCCTTTTTCTTTGTATCTCTTAATTCCTGCTTAACTAGTGATAATAGATTTAAAATATTGTTCTACCTAGTTTGTGAATAGAATATTTGGTAATTTATTACATGGTACTTTAACCAGGACATTAACTTGCTGTTCACCTTATAAAAGCTAGTTAAGATTTTTCTCAAATTATAAGTCTTCAGACAATTCTTTGAAACTCTTTATATTGAAAATGCATATAAACAAATGTGATGTAATTAAGTAGTTTTTGAATACAAAGATCACAGACAAGATTATTGGTCATAATTGTATAATACTGTATGTTCAAGATAGATTATTGAAAATTTTGTACATTAAATATCAACATGTTTGTGAATGTTCATTTGCCTCCAAATGGAGTGTGGGTTATAGGTGAGTGTATAGGTGGTCAAAGTTTTGCTATAATTTAACTCATGTAATTAGGTATAAATTGAGTATGTAAAAATCTTACAAGATAGGTTTTGGTTTTACATTTTCAAAAGCTTTTAGTCAACCATTGCAGGACCATCTTACAGTCTGCTAGGGGTAGAAATGTTCTGTATCCCAAGGAATATCAGTTCTTTGAAATAGTGGTGGTCCTCAGACAATATCCATGTAACTATTGTTGGACTTGTTGTGTAACACAATGAGCAAGAACTCTCCATCCACCTAGTTGGTAAATGCAGTTTATTATGAAATAACTTCAGTCTCCCCCTTTTACAAGAACAGATTCAAATTAAGAAACATTGTTACCTTTAGATGTTTTTGCATGCAGGCCTTGTGAATGATCCTCTTGAATGTTACCACTTTGCCTTCTATAATTAATTCCTGATTTCATAACTTTATTTGGATTTTAAGTAACAGACAAGCTAAGCTTTACTATACAGAATTCATCAGCTTAGTTTGGTGTTTATCTCAGGGGACGTCCTCTGTACCAGCAGCTGCCACCCTGTCTGCAGTAACATCTGGGGATCTGGATCTGTTCACTGAGCCAACTACAAAATCAGAAGAAGTAGCAAAGAAGCAACTCTCCAAAGACTCCATCTTATCTCTGTATGGTACAGGAACAGTTCAACAGCAAAGCACTCCTGGTAATTAAATTTTGAAATCTGCTTTCAATGCATCACAGTGACATTACTAGAAGTACATCCTTTTTACTTCTATTATATTTCTTCCCTATTTTCCTATGGTAGTAGGTGCTTTTTTTTTGTTGCAGTGATTAAAAGGCAAGTACAGAATTCACAAAACTTTATTCAGTTAGAATTAACAAGCTGTTCATGTATCACTTAATATTTTTTCACAAGTTTATAGGACATGGATTATCTTTGAAGAATTATTGAAATTTTATTTACAGGAAGTTTATGACTGTGTACTACTGTAAGTAAACAATAAGCAGTCTGAATTATTACATGATTCCAAAAACTTTGAAATGTTTTGTCATTACAATGAAAAACTAGCATAAAATTTATTCAGTTTTAATCTGTCTAGACCATTTCCTCTTAAATAGTGAGCTGCATTTCACATATGGGCTGAAATTGTATAACAATCCAACTACTTCGTTATAAAGCCAAATATAGTCAACTCTCATTTGCCTATTTGGTACTGGGAGACATGTGGTGCAAGTCAGCAGAGAAAGCAGATACTCTCATGCTGAGTAATTTGGTCTTTACAGTGGAGGTATTTAATGTGGCTATTGCCTGAGAGTTTTATTTTCTAATTAAATTTTCTTAGGTTAATAACTGATTTGCTTATTCTAGAAATAAACAGCTCCAAATGTTTAGGTTTGGGCTGTTCGTAGGAGGAAAAACAGCCAGATCAGAGTGAAAATTTTTGCTGTAGGTATATCAGAAAATGGTAATCCTTTTTCTGTGTCTATAAAGGTGAGTGTAACTATATACAATGGCCCTGTTTTTCATTTTTCTCTTCATGGTTCTTGTGTTACAGGTGTGTTTATGGGACCCACAAATATACCATTTACCTCACAAGCACCGGCTGCATTTCAAGGTTTTCCATCAATGGGTGTACCTGTGCCTGCAGCGCCCAGCCTTCTAGGAAATGTGATGGGACAGAGTACAGGCATGATGGTGGGCATGCCCATGCCTAATGGGTTTATGGGAAATGCACAAACTGGTGTGATGCCACTTCCTCAAAATGTTGTTGCCCCCCAAGGAGGAATGGTAGGACAGATGGGTGCACCTCAGAGTAAGTTTGGCCTCCCACAAGCTCAACAGCCTCAGTGGAGCTTCTCACAGGTAGGAGTCATTTACTCTCTATCAAGGAAATTGACTAAGGATAATATAAGATCAAAAGTTGCATCAGAGAGATAAATGCTTTGTCACTGTCCCTATTTTTTAAAGTATTTTGTAAAGAACTGTTAGGTTCCTTTTTTCTTCATTTCAGATTGTAACACTACTGTCATGGTAAAAATGCCTGGTCTGTTTATAATAGCTAGAAATTTATCTGAGGGATGATGAGAGACTTCTTGTCTGCCACCTTTGAGGTTAGCATCAGGCTTTTCCTGGCTCCCTAGTAGGATGTTTTTGATGTCTACTTAGACCAACCTATCTTTACCAGTTATTTATTTATTTAGTACTGGGAATTGAACCCAGGGGCACTACTTAACTACTGAGCCACATCCCCAACCCTGTTAAAATATTTTATTTAGAGATAGGGTGATGCCGAGTTGCTTAGACTAGCTTTGAACTCATGATCCTCCTACCTCAGCCTCCTGAACTACTGGGATTACAGGTGTGTGCCATTATACCGGCAAATTTTTGGATCTTTTTTGCTTAACTTTCACAATATGAGGCTGGATTTTTCTCACCTATCAAAGCACAATTTTATGAGGGATCAAAGCTGTCTTCAAGTCCTGTGACTACTGCCCATGGATTTATAGAAACTTTTTTGTTCAGTAACCCTTGTAAAATTGTATTTCCTTTTTATATGATCTGTAATGACTTTATATTTAAAGTGTATCCACTGGCTCAAGAATTCCCATAAGGTATGAAAAGTCTGTACTTGTCTCAGACATTCCTTCATATTATAAAATTCTTTTTCTACCTAAGTTTGTTTAGAGCCAAGAGAACATTTCTATCTTAGGCACTCTGTTCTGAATTTAGCTCCATAGACAAAAGCTCCTAGACTTAGATTTATGTTCCTCTTCCCCATTTGGTGGTCTTGGTTTCTAAGTGATCAGAATTTTACCTTGAGAACATTCAGGGAATAGTCTTGATTCTAATGATTGTAGCAGAATTATTGTATATCATATGAATGTTTCAATTTATTTATTTACACTCATGATTCACAGAAGTCTCTACCTTCTAGGAATCTCAAGTACTAAATAAACAGCTTTATGTGACCAAAGTGCTAACACACTCAGCTCGGATTTAGGTGCAGATTAACCCATAAGGAGTTAATGTTGGCCTAACTCTCAGATAGTGCAAAAGGGCGATGCTGTTCTCCAGCACACTGTCAGTGAAATTTATTGGCCAATGATAAAGTGGTTAAAATATCCTTCAGTAGGTATGAAAATGTAATCTGCCTGCCCTTCAGACACTTATGTCTGATCAGCAATGTAGTTGTTCTTGTCTTTCAGAGATTGCAAATAGAATACAATCTTACCCTGAGCATAGGTTTCAAATTCACTCTGTACATGATGGTAAATTTTGCCTTTCCTTCTCTTATCACCAATCCTGATAGTAAGAGAACCATAGGGCTAAGAGGCTTGCTTATAAATATACTTGACTCCAATCTGGAAGAAATTTCATACTGCAAATTTTAACTGTTAGTGTTGTTAGAACAAAGAGGAAAAATATTCTTTATGAACTTTAATATTTAGAAAGTATAAAGACCCATTTAAGATTTTAATAGAGAATTATAGCCATCATGCTAGGTTTATAGGATAATTTTAGAACTAAGAAAATTTCATAAAGTAAAATATTCTTAGTATAGTATCTCAAAATAAAGAGTAATGGACTCATTTTATAATATAATCCCATATGCAAATTCAAAGATTGTTCTCTCCCCATTCAGTTAGGGTTAATAAGAAATTGAATCTAGGGCTGGGGTTGTAGCTCAGTGGTAGAGCACTCGCCTAGCACATGTGAGGCCCTGGGTTCTATCCTCAGCACCATGTAACAATAAATAAAATAAAGGTATTGTGTCCAACTACAACTAAAAAATTAAAATATTTTAAAAAAAAGAAATTGGATCTAGAAAATGAATGAAAATGATTGAGATTAATACTAAAAAGTGGAAGAAAATAACAAGGGAACAAAGTATCTATTTGCTTTCTGTAAAGAAATATGTATATGTTAGTCTTTCACCTAAGTGCTTTAACTAATTTTCACATTGATGAAAAAATACCCAACTGAGGCTAAAGAAGCAAGAACTGAAAATGAAGTAATCCTCTTAAACTAAGTCTTTTGTGTGTTTCACAGATGAATCAGCAAATGGCTGGCATGAGTATCAATAGTGCAAACCCTGCAGCAGGTTTTGGCCAGCCCCCCAACACAACAGCAGGATGGTCTGGAAGCTCATCGGGTCAGACTCTGAGCACACAACTGTGGAAATGAAAACTGCAATACAAGTTTCATCCAGAATTAACACCTGACATTCCTTGCTAAAACGCATCTAGTTCCCCTGTTTATTCATGTACATATTTTTTTTTTCTTTTCCCCCCATTTGTTCATATTAGGAATTACCTGATTGACCGTGTTGGTCTGTTACTGATTAAATTTGATGTGGTGAAAAGCAGGTTGAAGAACCATTTTATGTCAGGGGCAGCTTTGCTCATGTTTCCCATGATCTCATAAAACTACATTATTTGAGAAGCTGCTCAGTCAACTTGCATAATCAGTTTTACTCAATAAAATTATAGCTCTAATGTTTGCATATAAGGGAAGTAGTTATCATGTTAGTAATACCTCTAACAGTATAAACCCCACCCCCAAATTAGCCAGTAATCCTGTAGGAAGGTACTGTATGATCAAATGTTTAATCATATAAATAGAATGTAAATGTATCACTGAGCACTGTTTTCTAGTGTATCAAAATTCTTTTATTTCATCATTCACTTCACCGTGCTGTTGTTATGATGTGCTTAACAGGGAACGTGGTTAGTGAAAGGAAGATAAACCTGGATGTTACTATAAAACTTAATTTAATGAATGTTTAAAGAATTTGAATTTTACCTGCCTCTTATAATTTGGATCTCTTCTTATGTACATAGTGCTAACATGAAGACCTTTTTCTGCACTATATGCAAACAGGGTAACTAAAAGCCACTTTTAATCCTTGAAGGTATATCCAGGTTTATGACAGTAATTGTGTTTACATTTTATGGTGCCTAGTATTGACAAAATGTTATTTCCCTATATATTAAACAGATAAATCCATAGACCTTTTTATTTGTGGACTTTTTTTTTTCCTCCTATAATGAATACTGCCACAAGCCTTCCAAAATTTACTTCATGTGAAGTTAGGAATTGGTAATGTTCAATTGACAAAATACTTGTCAGGGCAAGTATTACACCTATTCAGTTCTACCAATTATCAGGCCAAATGAGGGGGGGGGACAGAAAAATTAAATAAGATATTGAGATTGGTATTTTGCATCATTAGCTGTACTGTACAAAAATTCTCCAGTTAAGTTGGAGAGAAAACATGCAGAAAAAATGAAGACAAAACAAAAATTTTGTACCATCAAATTAGTTACATTAACTGACAAGCTCTGTTTAGACAGATGTCCATCAGATGACAATAAAGGCCGTTGTACTGAAGTAAAATAAACAATACCTGAATGCTCTGCATCCTAAACACCAGTCATCCTCTTCCACATCACTGGCCAGGTTGATTGTGCCAGTTTTTGCTTCATCTTACACCTCAATTTTCACTGTGTCCAGGTGGTACTTGGGCTCGTTGGCTAGATTAACCTTCTCTGTCCGAGTGTGCCACACAAGAACCTAAAGGGGAGGAAAATATTTTGGGCAGCCACATTCTCAGCGCTGATACTCAACGCCAAGCAGCACAAGTGAAATGAGTACCTTGGTGCAGTTATTTGCTTTTGGTTCCAGTTCTTCCACTGTTGTTATCTGTTTTAGAAAGTCAGATTCTTGCATCCCTGGCTGGGACCCACGACGCTTAAATACAGCTTTTGGATTAGACAAGATGACTTGAAGACTTACAGCAAATCCTTTGTGAAAAGTTTAAAAAAAAAAAATGACATTAAAGTAAAATATTGATGTACTTTTCTTTTTTTTCTCAGGTTTTGGTCACATCAAAAAAATGTCAAATACTATGTTATATTTTGGTTTACCAAGTTTAATAGGAATATTACCTGCTTTATCATCTCAAGAGGAAAATTAGTCATTACAGTGCAAAACAGGTATACCCATGGGACATCTACCATAAAATATGAAGCCTGGTTTGTGGTTAATAAAGGGTTTCACAGAGATTATCATAACGCCACTTTTGATATTCTGAACTCAGTGCAACTAGAACAGTTGTGGACCTACCTTAATTATCCTTAGGGTATGAGATCCAGATCATCCACATTTCCTGCCTGCTGTTAACATCATTGTGTATTTTTATCAAACTCAGCACTACTGGTGTTGTATTAAGAAGACTGGTTATAAAAGTCAATTACATAGAAAATGAGTAATACCTAATTTATAATCATTTGTTTCAATCTGAAAATGGTGAGGGGAGAGGAGGTTAGAAATTAGTTCAGAAGATATAGGCCATTTGAGAAATTAGTTTTTAGTATTTGGGAAAAAAGGGGGCTGAATGCTCTGCACCCTAAAAGTGGTAGCTCACTTGCTTGGCACACACATGAGGCCCTGAATTCGCTCCCCAGTGCCTCAAAAAAGAATGTATAAAACCCCTTCAGTGATTTGGTTATATAAAATGTCATCACTGTTCAATCTGTAGTTTAACAATCTCTGCACTTAAACCTCAGCTATGAAAGCACTCTACAAGCTATCAAGTCATTGTTTTGAAAGTCTGAAGCCCTTTTGCTTTTTATGACTAAGGTAACAATGTAAAGTCAGGCAACCTCCCAGAGTTGAAGTTGTGAGGACCAGTTCCCAGGAACATTTCTTAGCAACATCTTATCCTTCTCTACATTAACCTGAATTGATTTATGCTTCTTTGTGAAAAAAGTTGTACTAGCAAATTTAGTACCAAATGATACCCAGCAGTAGTGGAGGAGCTTTGAGGAAACCATACTACCATTCTTTTAACTTCTCTAGGTACCAGACTGAGCAGTCTCATGTTCTAGACCCTGCTGCCTTTTGGGAAAATATTAATACTCAGCTGTGTACAAACTACTTGGTATAGTTGGTACTGAGTAAAGCAAAACAAAAAATCATGAAACAGCCTGAAGACTCCCAGTATCTCCACCAATCCTCCAGGGAGACACCACATTATAGCAGGAAAACACTGAATTTGAAATGATTAGCCTTTTCTGTTGTCTAGGTCCTTGCATTTGGGACACTGGCCAAGTCATTTCAATCTTTCTTGATGCTGTAACTTCTATATTTCCTCATTTGCAAGAGAAGTGTGACCCCTTCTTAACTTTGATATATGAAAATCTCTGGAAGCACTCAATTGAATACAAAGCACTATTCAAAAGATTACAACAAATATATTAAAAATAGCACTGTGAATAATTTCACGAAGGGCAGGTGTATTGGCCACCAGTTGTGGCTAGAAGAATACTGATCGGCAGCTAAAGGGTTTTTAAAACATTTTTGGTAGCAGAGCTACGCCATCTGCATATCATACCACTCTGATAACAAATCCAAAGCTGCCTTCAGGCATGGCTAGGCCAACATGAGACATAAAAGAACACCAAAGATTCAAATTAATATCAAAGTGCCTTTTCTCATAGTCCAGCTGGATTTTAGTGCTAAAAGATTTCTTTTTTTTTTTCTTTTGAGCTACACCCCCAGCCCCCTTTTATTTTTATTTTTTTTTAAATTTTTATTGTTGTTCAAAACATTACATAGTTCTTGATATATCATATTTCACACTTTGATTCAAGTGGGTTATGAACTCCCATTTTTACCCCGTATACAGATTGCAGAATCACATCAGTTACACATCCATTGATTTACATATTGCCATACTAGTGTCTGTTATATTCTGCTGCCTTTCCTATCCTCTACTATCCCCCCTCCCCTCCCCTCTTCTTTCTCTACCTCCTCTACTGTAATTCATTTCTCCCCCTTGTATTTTTTTTCCCTTTCCCCTCACTTCCTCTTCTATGTAATTTTGTATAACCCTGAGGGTCTCCTTCCATTTCCATGCAATTTCCCTTCTCTCTCCCTTTCCCTCCCACCTCTCATCCCTGTTTAATGTTAATCTTCTTCTCATGCTCTTTGTCCCTACTCTGTTCTTAGTCACTCCTTATATCAAAGAAGACATTTGGCATTTGTTTTTTAGGGATTGGCTAGCTTCACTTAGCATAATCTGCTCTAATGCCATCCATTTCCCTGCAAATTCTATGATTTTGTCATTTTTTAATGCAGAGTAATACTCCATTGTGTATAAATGCCACATTTTTTTTTATCCATTCGTCTATTGAAGGGCATCTAGGTTGGTTCCACAGTCTTGCTATTGTGAATTGTGCTGCTATGAACATCGATGTAGCAGTGTCCCTGTAGCATGCTCTTTTTACTGGAAATCCATATGCAACAAAATGAAACTGAATTCCTTTCTCTAGCCATGCACAAAAGTTAACTCAAAATGGATCAAGGAGCTTGATATCAAATCAGAGACACGCCGTCTGATAGAAGAAAAAGTTGGCTACGATCTACATACTGTGGGGTCGGGCTCCAAATTCCTCAATAAGACACCCATAGCACAAGAGTTAATAACTAGAATCAACAAATGGGACTTACTCAAACTAAAAAGTTGTTTCTCAGCAAAAGAAACAATAAGAGAGGTAAATAGGGAGCCTACATCCTGGGAACAAATCTTTACTCCTCACACTTCAGATAGAGCCCTAATATCCAGAGTATACAAAGAACTCAAAAAAATTAAACAATAAGATAACAAATAACCCAATCAACAAATGGGCCAAGGACCTGAACAGACACTTCTCAGAGGAGGACATACAATCAATCAACAAGTACATGAAAAAATGCTCACCATCTCTAGCAGTCAGAGAAATGCAAATCAAAACCACCCTAAGATACCATCTCACTCCAGTAAGATTGGCAGCCATTATGAAGTCAAACAACAAGTGCTGGAGAGGATGTGGGGAAAAGGGTACACTTGTACATTGCTGGTGGGACTGCAGATTGGTGCAGCCAATTTGGAAAGCAGTATGGAGATTTCTTGGAAAGCTGGGAATGGAGCCACCATTTGACCCAGCTATTCCCCTTCTCGGTCTATTCCCTAAAGACCTAAAAGATTTCTTGCTCTTTCATGTACTTATAAATAAGCTTCAGCTTTTTTTTTTTTTTTAAGTCTAAATGAGAGTTGGTCCTTCTCAATCATCCTGAAGCTTCTGACATATTCTTTAAATAGCTTATAGGTACTGATTTTATTTCCCCTTCTCTCTCAAAAAAAAAAAAAAGGTCCATATTATGCAAAAGTAATTCTAAAAATGATATGAAACCACTTTGATTTGATCTTCCTCATTTTCCCCACAGACTAAAACATTCATTACCATGACCACTGAAGGATTCAGATTAAGAGTATGCTCTTACTTTCCTTTATTTAGGACTATCCTAACTCACTGCAGAGTTACCTGGCACAGTCAGCAGAGTGACATGAAGCTACACAACCTTCTGCTGCAAGGATCCCTTCTCCATTTGGAGAAGAGTGGCTGGCTCACCACAGGAGCAAAGGGCTTTTCTATTTTCTAACACAAGGGGTAGGCGTGCATAGTTCAGGTGCTTCTCTATCACCTACCTCAATTTCTTTGCCCACATCCTCAGTAAGCTTTTCAAAAGAAGCAGGTCACAACCAGCAGGCAGGGACCACAAGCTAACTAGACCAAACTGTGAGCTGCTTTGGGGGAATTTTGTGCTCTTCTGAGAGTTCAGAGAGAGTTAAGGAGCTCCCCCTCTGAAACATGCAAAGAGTTTTGAACTCCTAACCACTGATTTTCGACCCAAAATGGAAATCAGGTTTTCTTCAATTTCAAGTATTTTTGCCTCAAGAATTATGTCCTCCCTTTTTTAGTGAGATTAGTTTGGCTTTAAAAATGTTGCTGTGGCTTTTGAGATATTGAATGCAACCTTATGAAAATCGGGCGAGTAGGATTTTCTGTCCTGTCAGTTATGTAAAAAAGAAAATGGAAAGGGGTTGTTCTGTGAAAAAAAGATTTCCTAACTAACTTCTTTAGGCAGAGTTAGGTGGGGAGGATATATTCTCTCCAAGACAGGGACAGAGCCTACCTCAATACCTTCCAATGATTACTAGGTAGAAAAATTGCAAGATGTTCAAAGTTTAGCAAGCCATTTCTACTTCTGGACAAGATAAAGCAACAGGGACTGGACTGAGTTTTCTCTGTGTTAATCACTAACATCAGACAAAATGTTTGAAGTTTTTCTAGAAATTGGAAAAGAGGCAGTTAGGACAGATATCTCCCAAAAAAAAAAAAAAAAAAAAAAAGGTACATGTGAGACTTATGACTGCCCCAAGCTTCCTGAAAAGTGTTTGCAGGCCACACCACAGGGCAAGGAACCAAAACAACTTCAGTCTCCTTGAGTTGAGGAAACAAGTGAGAACTTGAGGAAGTCAGGACAACTAGAATTTGTGAGCACTAGGAAAGAAAGAGCTCTTGATCAATAGAATGTTCTCCTCAAGTCTTAAACTGAGCATCATCAGCTATGTAAACTCCCCAAGACCATGGTAAGAACTCATGAAAAAGAGCAGAAATGGGGCTTACATAGGCTGGAAATAATTCACATTAGCAGCCAGACTGGGCACAGTTATGCACATCTATAATCCCAACAACTCAGGAGGCTGAGGCAGGAGGATCACAGGTTTGAGGCCAGCCTCAGGAACGTAGTAGACCCTAAGTAACTTAGCAAGATCCTGTCTCAAAAAGGGCTGGAGATGTGGCTCAGTGGTAAAGCACTTCTGGATTCAATCACCAATGCCAAAAACACCGCAAAATAACAAAAATCTACAGCCAAGGTAGTGCTACCATGTGACAGTGGGAACACCTGGAAGAGT